ACGTAATCTATAGACCTCTGCGGCGGTGACAGATGACAAGCGACTTCACTGCCAGAACAAGCGCGGTTATATATAAACCATATAGCACCCCGTGCACCGTTGGACGGTAGTTAACTCAGTAGCTTAACCTAACGAAACTTTACCTGGGGTACTCTAGAAGTTCAGAAATACCAGAGAACGCACCGACGTACTTCATGGAAATTTGAACCTTTGTCTATCTTTTTTGCACACATTTGTATTTATATATTATTTCTTGTCCTCGCCGGCTTTATGCTTGTTCTCATTGAGACGCCCTTACTCTACCGTATACGAGGAAGATAGAAAATCCACTGCGTATTTTGGTCGCACGATTGTCATTCGTCATGAGGAATGGACCCAGGAGTTTGCTGTCATGGCACAAGTTCCACCCCTTGCCGACCTACAACCTTCATCCGCCCAGACTTTCCTGCTTTGTATCCAAGTATGTTCAATCTCCACGTGGAGGATCGGCGCCAAGGGTCATCGAGGGACAAACTTACGGGGATAGTTCTTGTGTAAGGACGTGCGACGGAATCCGGTCCAGGGTTTACCACAGACATTCAGCTACCAGTTTCTTCACCTTCGTCACAGCGTTACGTCTCTTCTACATGAAAAGTCTATTCCCGATTTCCCAATGGACTTTCCTTCGACACATGAAAACGAGGGTAAGGAACGCTTCGGACGAACTCATAAATCGGTTGGACGTAGGAAGCTCGCGTGCTTCCTCAATACGTTATGTATACAATGTACAACCTAAAAAACATGACTTACAGCGTGTATTATAATAGAGATCGACTCGCTTCGAAAGAAATAGACAGGGTCATGCGAGAACGTTCGTATCGATCGGTTCTCTCCTTCTAGTTTTAGCAGAGGAGTCTAATTACGTAATGGTCGTTTCCTCTAAGAGCTGCAATTGCAAAACTATCATATAGCAAAATGGCCGCCGGGAAGGATCATCGTTGCGGTTATTTGGACGAACCATCAGACCTTAGTGCTTCATTGGAATACTAGAGTTTACAGTGTAACCAATAGTACGGTACACTGGGCCTATTGGCTGTGACTCTCCCCGATACTATCTACTTGTCGATTTCTACTGGTTACTTCCTTCACTATATATACTATTGATACTACTGTTACATTATCCCTATATTTACTCGTATGCTATTCGGATGCTCTTTTCTATTTATATATGTATATCTGGTGCAATTTCTATATAGTCTACTTTTCTTCTCCTCTCTCTCTCTCTCTTAGTCCTTTCTGGCTACTCTCAACCTCAATAACCAAACTCGCATTAACCAAATGAAATTCCAAATGGTACCGCGTCACTCAAACGTCCCGGCGCATCTTAGTTTACGGACAGTTTCGACGCTCCTATATAGCACAAAGTCAGTCCGTATTACGGGCGTCCTTCCCACGAGCTATTTGTACCCAGGTATCATACACGTGGCGGGTTCGAATACATATGTCTGGTATAGGATCATCTTGTCCTGATTATCCGGAGCGCATATAGCGAGAGGTAGGTGTAGCGGGATGACGATCGATCCCAAATTGGTCCAGTGGATCGAACCTATCTCCCAGTGTGCATACGATATTCTCTCCGTTGCCATGATCAATTG